GCATTTCCATTTCTGCTGCTGCTGCTGCTGCTGCTGCTGCTTCTGCTGCTGCTGCTGCTTCTGCTGCTGCTGCTTCTTGCTCCGGCTGACTTGCCTCAGCGTCCCTCTGCTCCATTTCTATATCATCTGCTGCGGCAGCAACGGCGGCAGCAGGAGCAGCAGCAGCAGCAGCATCTGCTGCAGCATCTGCTGCAGCAGCTGCTGCAGCAGCTGCTGCATTTTCTGCTGCAGACTCTGAGCTGGGCTCTGCTGCTTGCTGCTGCTGCATTTCTACATCTGCTGCTGCTGCGTCTCCGCAGTTTTGCGGTGTATGTACACCCGAAGTTTGTGCTGCTTGCTGCGCCTCCATTCGACGCCGCTGCCTGGAGTCGAAATGGTGTTCAATTTTTGCGAATTTTCGTTCAAATTGAACCAAAAAGTGGTTGTTAAATTGAATTTCTTTTGAATTTAACAATTAATTCTTTTAAACTGAAAAAGAATTCCATTTTGGAGCAGAAAAGGGAAGAACCGCAAGACCCTTGCATGCGGGTTTCCGCCGCCCCCACCGGCGCGGCGGGGGCTGGCGCTGGCTCGCCTCAAGCAGGCTTTTAGGAGTTTTAATTTAAATAAAAAGAAATAAATTAATTAATTAAAAAGTAAAAATAAAAAAAGATTCTTCTGAAGAGTCCAATTGAGTTCTTTTTCGCGGCGAGAGCTGCGGTGTCTGGACAGCGCAGGGAACCGCGGCGCTGGCCACTGTTGACCTCCAGCTCTTCAGTTTTTCTCTTTTGTTTATTTATTTGTTTATTTATTTGCTTATTTATTTATTTATTTATTTATTTTATTTAATTTAAATATTTATTTGCTTTCTTTCGCAAAATGGAGGCCGCGGCAGAGGCGCTGCAGCTAGAGGCAGCTGACGCCCCCAAGCTTGAGCGCGTCCGGGTGGCTGTGCGGTGGGTACTAATTAGGGTTTAGGGTTTAGGGTTTAGGGTTTAGGGTTTAGGGTTTTGGAGAAGAGGTGGGACAAGCAGCCTCAGGAGGGCTCACTGGAGTTAGGGTTTAGGGTCGAGGGTTTAGGGTTTAGGGATTTACCCTAAACCCTAAACCCTCAGCACCACCTGCTGCTCACTGGAGTCACGGTCTAGGGTCGAGGGTTTAGGGTTTAGGGTTTACGCTAAACCCTAAACCCTCGGCAGCATCTTCTTTCCCCTCTAAGAGCCGCCACAAACAGCAGCAGCAGCAAAACAAAAAAGAAAAAATAATTAGCAGCAAATGAAGAGCAACAAAAATAAATCGCACATCACTGCAACACAGTTTCTTCTTGCTGCTGCTGCTGCTGCTGCTGCTGCCGTACCACTACTACTACTACTACTGCTGCTGCTGCTGCTGCTGCTGCTGCTACCGTACAACTGCCAGTACTACAACTACTACTGCTGCTGCTGCTGCTGCTGCTGCTGCTGCCGTACTGCTACTACTACTACTACTACTACCGCTGCTGCTGCTGCTGCTGCTGCTGCTACTGCTGCCTTACTGCTACTACTACTACAACTGCTGCTGCTGCTGCTGCTGCTGCTGCAGCTGCCGGCCGCTTTCTGCTGCTGAGCTGGCGAAGAGCAGCGAAAGGGTTTTGGAAATCAAAGAAGAAGAATCTTCAATTTTGCTGCTGGGGCCCCGGGGGGCCCCCAAGGAGTTCACATTTGATGCAGTTTATGGCGAAAAGTGCGCAGCAACTTTAAAGTTTTTTAATTCTTTTTAATTCTTTTTAATTCTTTTTTATTCTTTTTAATTCTTTTTAATTCTTTTTAATTCTCCTTTTGTTGTCTGTTTGCTGCTGGAAAGTTCTCTCTTTGATCCGCGAAAAAAGCGCAGCTCTAGCAGCAAAAAGAGCGGACAAAGCATGCTGCTGCTGCTGCTGCTGCTGCTGCTGCTGCTGCTGCAGGTTCCATTGCTGCTGCTGTTGCTGTTGCTGCTTCTGCTGCTGCTGCACTCATTGTTGCTGCTGGTGCTGATGCGGGGACTATTGCATCTTCTGTTCCTGCGCTAGCTGCTGCTGCCGCTGTTGCTGCTGCTGTTGGCACTCGTCTTGCTGCTGCTGCTGCTGCTGCTGCTGCTGCTGCTGCGCTGTACTGAATAAACCCTGGCCAGGTAAAGCCGCGGAAAGAGAACAAACGCAGCAAATAAAAGCAGCAAAACAATTAATAATTAAACAATAAATAAATAAATAAATAAATAAATAAATAAATAAATAAATAAATAAATAAATAAAAATAAATAAATAAATAAAAATAAATATAAATAAATAAATGAGCTGCTCTTTTTGCCTGCCAGCGCCACACAGGCTGAGGTGTATAGGGACCTCGCGTCGGACATTGTTGAAAGTGTAATGGAGGGTTTTAATGGTAATTAAATTAAATTAATTAAATTAATTAAATTAAATTAAATTAAATTAAATTAATTAAATTAATTAAATTAAATTAAATTAAATTAATTAATTAAATTGATTTAGCCATTTAATTCACCAGCGGGTTCTGCAGTGCAAATTTGCGTCGCGGGAGACCAAAATGCCACCCTCAAGGGTTTAGGGTTTAGGGTTTAGGGTTTAGGGTTTAGGATTTTTAGGCCTTGCACTTCAGCACGGGCAATCGGAGTTCAGCTTTCACGGTTTAGGGTTTAGGGTTTTCAGGCCGGCACAATGTTGCGGAAGCTCTGGACTCAGCGTCTAGGGTTTAGGGTTTAGGGTTTAGGGTTTAGGGTTTAGGGTTTTGCAGGCACAATATTTGCCTACGGGCAAACTGGAACTGGCAAAACCTACACAATGTTTGGAGGCGAGGGAGAAGAAAAAGGAATAACCCCGAGGGCCTTTTCAGCTATTTTCAACAGCATTCAAGAAGCCTCCGACATGGTAGGGTTTAGGGTTTAGGGTTTAGGGTTTAGGGTTTAGGGTTTAGGGTCTAGGGCTTGGAGTTTGGGGGATGTGGTTGCCGTTTCGAGCAAGGAGTTGCTCTTACGGCTGTCTTTCAAGAGCTGCACATCCGGGTGTAGGGTTTAGGGTTTAGGGTTTAGGCTTCAGCGTTTAGGGTTTAGGGTTTAGGGTTTAGGGTTTGCGAGTGGCCTTCAGACGTTTCTGGTGCGGGCCTCTTTTCTTGAGTTGTACAACGAGGAGGTGAGGAGAGATTTTATTTTATTTATTTTATTTTTATTTTTTTGATTTGTTTTATTTTTGTTTATTTAATTTAATTAATTCATTTTTATCTCTTTTATTTCTTTTTTTAGTTTTATTTATTTATTTCTTTTATTTATTTCTTTTATTTATTTCTTTTTCAACTTTGAAAAATTCCAAAAACGCGCAATGCCGAAGGCTTGCAAACCCTAAGTGTGTTTCATAATTGAGGGTTTAGGGTTTAGGGTTTAGGGTTTTGTTGTCTGCAGACTCTGATGCTAAACTAAACCCTAAACCCTAAACCCTAAACGCTAATGTTTGTTGCCCTCAGTTTAGAAACTTATCATCTGCAAACCCTAATGCAAAACTAGACCTCCTGAAGTGTAAACCCTAAACCCTAAACCCCAAACCCTAATTGTTTGTTGTCTTCAGTTTAAGGACTTATTATGCC